ACAACTTTTATCTTGACTTTTGTCACCTAAGCCACACATTACCAGGGAATTAGGGCTAAAACTATCAATATATTTATTAATATGAACATAAATGCTGACTCTGTAAAGTTACAAGGAAAAATCTTGCACCAACGGTTGTCATGGGAACCTCCGCCCCTCTTCACAACACGCTCCAAATCTACGGAAGCCTACCACTGACAATCAGCTTACGCCATACGCCCATTGCAAAAAAATCTCAGAAAATCCCACAAAAAAATTCAGAAGTTCTAAAAAAGTAATACATTCTAGTAAATCAGTATTACCTCCACTCACCTAACTAAAACTGTTAAAAAAATTAGGGAGCATTTCATTTTGCACTTGGAAAAAAAATATCGGAAAATTGGACCAGATTACTATGTCATTGGAACTCTGTAGCGGGTATGTGAAATCGAGATTTGTGAATCAAAGTATTTAGCGTTTGATTATTTTTTACCTTTTGTAAAATTGGAGATAAAATATTGCTGCAAACACAAACGTTAGAAGTGAAATTTCGAAGTGTCCATAGGGTCCGCGCCTTTCCGGTGTGCATTCTTCAATTGTAACATGACGCAGCGCATGAACGAGTGTTTTTATTAGCCTAAACTTTCTCGAGTCCTCGAAAATACCAATTTTAGTGGGCTGTATTAGTGTCTTGAGTCCTCGCTGGGTGGGCTTTCATCTATTCTTTTTAAGACCAGTAAAATGACAAACAACATCGACCGCACAACCATAAAAGACAAAAACGAACAGACGTACCACACAATATATGAGGTGCGAACGGTACTGTGGCGGGACAACTGACACCTTTTTGTGGCGGACCAGCAGATTGGCCTGATCGGAGATGGAACTGACCTGGCCTAACCAACCAAATGTATTTATTTTACCTTACGCAAGAATGAGCGGCTATCCAAACGCAAGGGGGATATCAGTTAACGAACGGTGGACTATGCCTTAGGGGCTGTTCGTTTGATGGAAGTTTACCACAGCTCTGTGATTAAGAAATTGATCCCAATGTCAATAAAGATTACAATTAATGTCAATGCAAGTGATACAGGACTGAACTAAATCTCATGGTGACCAGTGATTTCTAAGGCAATTATATGATTGGTTTATTCAATGTCAATGCTCAATTATCCTTTATATACAACAGCAATTAATTATATACAAAATTATCCTCACGGGGAGGTAGTCCTACGTGGTCAACTGCACAACGAACGTGATTAATCAACCTTATCCTTAACCTACACCAGGGAACAAGCACCACACTAACCAATCACACCAGGTACTCTTGAGGTAGTCCCCAACCACCAGCGGTCGTACGTCAGATTGAAACTCGAAACTCAGAAGACAACACAACTCCATAGTACTCTGGTTAGCACGCTGCCATCTTGAGAAGTCCTGGCAACCCACGCAGTCAGCGTCCAGACCGAAGGTATAATGCATGCCTCTGATTGGTTGCCGCGGCATGTTTAATGCATGATTTAGACGAGCCTGAATTATTAATGAACTAAACTAAACACAAGTCTACGCAGCTACCCTGTTTCGCCACAGTACTTACAGGGCATTTACAAGTCTTTTTAGTCTTTCTGGACTGCTTTCCTTCATTTCCCACACTTGAATAGAGCCGCTGGTTCGTGTTGCTGGCTGGCCGCGGCCGGCGGCGGCCCGGGTTAGGCTGCGCTGAGGCCTGGGCATTGAGCGGCGTTTAGTGACTGATTTCATTCTTTAAACGTTGCCGTATAAACCGCCAGCAGTTCGTTATAAACTGCAGACAAATTATCCGCGTGAGAATCAATGTATACACCACAGCTTACATTCCAAAATTTGTAGTATATTAAAATTATATATTTATTACCAAAGGAAAAAAAACAAACAAACATAAACAAAAAAACAACAACGAGCAGAACTCGGAAGCGAGCGGGGACCGGGTTCATTCGAACCCCCCGAACCCACGCCCCCCAGCCTACGGGCCTGTGTTTATCGTATCCCATGTAAATGCAGCCAAGTATATATCGGACAAACCGGCAGGAACCTCCCCATCAGGCTCCAAGAACACCGTGTGTACGCCAACGAGGAGAACATGGCCGGTTGGCCGTCGTCAAACATGCACACTCCGTGGACCACCACATCACATCGAACATTGCAGAACTCATCGCCCCCATTCAGAACTGGTTTCCTAAAAGAATCCGAGAAGCCGTCGAGATTTACGGCACAACTGCGTCCCCCAAGACATTCGTTTCAAGCTCAACGACATATGGCGCCCACTCTACTAGCACCCAAGACAGTCCCCACCCCCCGGGCAGTAGGGTCCCTATGCCCGAAACCCATACCATGCACCCACCCCAGGCGTTAGGGTCTTCTCTACCCGAAGCCACCCCCACCCCCTTGGCATCCCTGATCCACCACAGGATCCAACACCTTCATGCTCCAATGCACGTGCAGCCACTACTACAACCCGCGAATACCGTTTCAAGTCCCACTGCATCCGGATTGCCTTTGTAAACCGGCTCTCCACTTACTTATGGAATTCCATATCTGCCGTCGTGCGTCGCCTGTCGTGCGTCGCCTGTCGTGCGTCGCCCATCAAATGGTTGCATAGGACATGCAAAAGCCGTTGTTTAACAAATGACAATGTGGTGATTCCATTCACTTCTAAAGATCTTTTCCGAATAAGGCTAGTAAGGTGAAA